CCTGGTTGTGAATGACTGCTGTGTCACGCACCTCCTGGCTTAAACCTTTAGGGCCCTTCAGCTTTTCGTGGCGACGAACAAAAGGATCGAGCCGAGATTCAAACCAGTATGGTACATGTTGGATGCGTATCATGTACTGTATATATACATTATATATATATTATATCTCTATATGTATATACACATACGTCACTGGATGTATCCTGTTTTTGGTGGTTGAAATCCTGTAATCAATAAGGATCGACTGGTCACTGCTCGACGACATCGGTGTGTGTTCATGGGGATCCCCCAGTTCATGGATCGAATGATAACACCCAACATACAAAGCGTATGTTCATAACCCCTGAACAAAAATCATCAACCAAGCATCGGATTGGTAAACAGATCTCTACATGATGACTAACTCCCAATCAGGCATCACATGTTGATGATATTTCTCCCATCATATCAAATCATTCCATCCAATTCCATAAAATTGGGAACAGCATGGTCGGAGATGTTTTCAATACCCTGTAGTTGTTTTTTAGCTGGGAAGCTAGTGCGTGTGTGTATGTCTGTATATATATATAGGTATATTATCTATATATATATATACACCGGTATATACTATATATTTATAAGCATATCATATATATATATATGTGTATATGATATTTATATATATATACACCTATATGGGGATGTATCGGCCTCTATATTGCTATTTTTGGGTTAGGCTATGAGGGTTTTGACCCCATCCAAGGTTGACCCACGTATCACCCAATATGGTGGTGTGTCCAACCCCTGTAGTTCACCTCAAAATGCACGGGGATTTATGGATATCCATCAAAACATGATAGTTGTGGGTGTTGATCCATATTCATATTAACGTTGGTTTGTCTGAAAATATGGGTGCCCCATTCAATCCATTGGCAAATCATCATTTTCCCAATAAGTTGAAAGCCGATTCCCCAAGTCGTGGATTTCCCATTCGGAAAAAAGACATCATCAGCAAATCCCATTAGCCTCCAAATTAATAAACATTTAGACCTTGCCGAAAAGGGGCTTGGAAGTTGAGTTTCCACTAGAATTTGGCGATTTTCAGGATCACACTATGTCAAAGTGTTGATTTTCGGGGAAGATACCCTCATGGCAAACATCCACAAAACTATGGAAAATCACCATGGTTCATGGCTAAATCAACTATTCTTATTGCCATTTTCAAAAGCTTTTTGAATGTTTACCAGAGGGTTTTCACCACCCAACCAAGGCACAGAAACCGCAGGGCGCCACAGAGTTGCCATGGTCCGCGGACTGGAACCGAGTTGTGTCGGGAACAGTTTTGATCAAGAAAAATTGGATTTGGGACCTTTAAGGGGATGGGCCAAAACCCTGGTACCTAGTGAACCCCAAAATAGCTGGTAAATGGATCTTCATCCCACTAAAAATGGTATTAATAGGTATTGATCCATACCCCTTTGAGACCAAAATTGGGGTCTGAATGAAGGAAACTGGACAAAATGGAATGGCTTCCCACAGAAAATGTTGCTGGAAACTGTGTTTTTCGGAGTCAATAGAAAGGGGTGCTGTAAGTTTTACTTTCTTTGGCGCCGGGGCCCACAAATGACCCGTAATTCTTGGTATAGTTCTGGTATAGTAAACCATTCCGCTTGTGCTGTTGGTACGAAAAAATCCAGACCATAAGTCCCAAGTGAGTGTCGTTTGGTTGTTCAAATCCCCAACTTGGAGTCATGGGGGTGCGGTTCATTCTTGGATTTCCCACCGTGAATCCTGTCTGGGAAATATGAAATGTCTCCCCAATAATGGCCTCCAAAATGAATACATCCAATACCAAAGCAGGGGTTCAGTACAATATTTATTTCGTGGGGTGGAAGGGATTATTTTGGGAACTCCATGTTTTCATGGTAGCCAGGAACAACTATCACAACCTGAATAACCGGACAAAAAAATATGTTGTGCAGAATCACCCAATTCAGTTGGTTGATAATCATACACTGATCTGGCTGTATTATATTAATTCACTAATGGGAAAATATATGAAAAACCATCTGGGGATGATTCCCCGAATCCTACCCATCATTCCAGTGACGTCAGGGCGTGAGGTCATGATCAAATTCGTCCAGATATATGCCATGATATTACCATTGTGATCCCATATTTGCTAGTTAAATCCCATTATATTCCCACTATATCCCAGCAAGAGATTGGAAAATCCACAGTTCCACAGCCACTCTTCCAACCGCAGCCGCCTTTGGAAGCAAACGCCTCTTCGGGCGATGCAAGTGAGCTGCGTTTAATTGTATAATGGGATCTACAGTAACCAAATATCAATTATTATTCAGTTGAAGCCAAAAAATGGCATGATGATGATGACGATGATGATGATGATGCTTATTATCATGATGATGATGATGATGATTCACTGGTGCTAAGGATGGGTGTGATGTCCTACAGCACTCGAACAGCATCATAGTCATATTAATCTCAAGTTTCTTCTTCATCATCATCATCCCATGAAACTTAAGAATCAAAGGGACACCGAGAAACTCCCAGGTCTTCCCCAAACGGACTGCCTGTTGAGGATCAGAATCTGAAGACACAGCTCAGGTCTTGGTTTCTTTTTTTGTTCACATAAAGTAATAAAAACAATCTTGGGGTCGCCCAAGTTTACCCATAAACATGTTAATACACATATGATATATGTATGTATGTATGTATGTATGTATGTATGTATGTATGTATGTGTATGTATGTATGTATGTATGTATGTATGTATGTATGTACGTATCTATGTACGTATCTATATATGTATCTAAATATGTATATATATACGTATATATATATATGTATATATATATATGTATATACATACATATATATATATGTATGTATATGTATGTATATATATATGTGTATATTTATATATATATATGTATATATATATGTGATTATATGTGTATATATATATGCTACCCACCCCCCAAAGATCTACCTTTTTAGGGCTAAACCTCATGCACATGCCAGATAATTTACACACCAAGCCCATGGGTTCAAGAACTTCTTTCTAGATCTTGAATCTTGAATCTTGAATCCGAATCCACAACCAGTCTCGTTTGCAAACGTTTGCAAACGCTGCAGCTGAAAATTGTCCTAAGTACAATCTAGATGTGCATACATTGTAGTACCCCCTGGGATTTGGATATTAGGTACAACAAAGTAAATATATATACATACATATGTATATATATATGCGGTACCCCCTCATCCTACTGTCCTATATCTAACCTTCAAAAAGGTAGATCTTTTGGTACACCGTATATATATATGTATATATATATATATATTTACATATGTATATATATATTTACATATGTATATATATATGTATGTATATATATATGTATATATACATATGTATATATATGTATATATGTATATATACAGATATATGTATATATATAGTGTATATATACATATATAGTGCATATATATGTATATTATATATATACGTGTGTAATTTTATATAAATTTATGATATGTGCATACACATTAGTTCTGAAACTTGAAAAAAAGCCGCGATCAAAAGAACCCGTGCCGCAATGTGGTATAGGAAGCTAGGAAGCCGATGTGGATGGCAAAGGGCATGAACATCCTACACCCTGCGGAAACAAAAACTGTAATGGGTTACATAATATTGTAGCCATTATAAATTATAGACTTATAGGATTCTGTAGGGATATATAATGGGATATGTAATAGGATATAACCAACAATGATTTCAGCTCGGTTTGATCGTCTGCCTTGTTTTCTCCAAGAATTTCTTGCAAGAAACAACCTTTACCTACCATTACATACCAAATCGAGGGTCCAGTACCAGTGGATAGAATTGAAATTTCCAGATCCAGATATGCCACCTATGTCCAGATATTTGATGTGCCCTGCCGGTCTTCTGGCTCATCTGGCAATATATACATACATATAGACATATACACATATATATATATATACATATATATATATATGTATGTATATATATATACATATGTATATATATATACATATGTGTATATATATATATGTATACATACATATGTGTATATATATATGTACATATATGTACCACAGTGTGTATGCTAAACCATGCCAAAGGTAGAGATAATTTTACAGTTTGCTATAGAAAGTTGCATATCTATGGATGATTTACCTATTAAAGATATATATATATATATAAATATGGAAATAATGTGATGTTCCACAGCTATGTGAGATTATTACCAGAGCGTACATTCTCCTAGATACATTCCCTTCCAATGCCATGGAGTCTTAGTCCTTTTTGCATCCCGGACATCCAGCCCTGTTTCCCTCCTCATCATGGAACGTCGAAGACGGGAGAGGTTCACCAAAGGCAGAACCTGAATTCGAAAAGATCGAGGAGCCGTGAGCAAACAATGATCCATTTATATTTATCATTTAACACTATTTCGAGAGATTTTCAGTAATGAAACCTGAGGACAGTTAGGACTCAACCACCAAATATGAGGATCTATAAGCAACATAGGCAGGCAACATGTTGGAATTTTCCATGGAAAATCTTCACCCTTGAAGCCCATAATGCACAATGAAACGTATATGAAACATTGATACAAATAGAGTTTTATGATTGTCCACATCAATTTATATGATTTATAATATTTTATAATATATAATTTATAAAACAAGAGAACCATGAGAACCATGATTATAGATCATTATAGATCCACATCTGCCCTGACATGAACAATCATGATCATCACGAACCCTTCCCCAAGTTGCTGCACAACTGTCTTTCGGCCGCGCGGCCTGATGTGCCATGAAACGTGGCTGATACAAGCTGGCACCACAACCGTAAGAGCGCGACCTGGAACAAAGAGGCCGCGCCATTGCGGTTTCAAAAAGGAAACTATAGAACAAATAGCATCGAATAGCTACAAGCTCTGGCAAGACCTTGGCCGCCTTGGCCCTCAAGATGAAATCTGGGCCACCTTCTTGTACTCCTCCACTCCTTTCCAGTAGTTCGCAATTCTCTGTTCTTTGGTGGGTGCATCTTGAAGTTTCGCCTGAGTCATTTCCATCTCTTTCAGGGCCTGAGGGAACTGTTCCGCTTCAATGCGAGATCGGGTCACATAGTCAATCTCTCCAGGCTTAATTGCTGCATTGGCTGCGTCAATGCCCTGCATGTATCCAGGCCTCACTACTTGAAAGTCAGGACGGCCCGAACCAGTGCCCGCAAAGCTGGGTGGCGCAAAGCCCACTATCACACCTGCCAACACAGCCAACCCGACTGCGGGGATGTTTGGGCGTTCTGTCTCTTGAAAGTCTTGCTTGGCCTGCAGAGCCACCCTTGGAACAGCACGAGGAGAGGATGGTGCCACAAATCCAGGGTAGTGAGGGAGCAGGCAAATGGCCACTGCAAGCAGCGTCAGGGCAAGAAGGCGTGCCATCTCAAGCGGTAGAGACGACTGCTGTCCTATCACAGTTCTTCCAGTCTTTGCTTAAGCTTAAACTGCATTCACGGAAAGAAAGCGTCGAAACATGCTCATGGGACACTTGCATCCGCCACGGCAGGCACGAAATGTATCACACATCCAGATTTGAAAAGCTGAGAACCCATAAGAATCCATAAGAACCCTGGCAATTGCGCTGATACAAACAAAAAAGACTGCTGGCTTGAAAAAGAAACCTAAGGTCGCAGAAGATCATGTACTCTCACAGTGGTTTACACACGACCAAGCTCTTCATAATGTGTATCTGCTTCTTGCAGCTATGCGCAGTTTATTTTTTCTGTCTGACACTGGATGATTCCAACGGTCATCAATGGTCCCATCATGGAAACGTAGCAGCTAAAGAAACACGCTTGCAAGAGCCAGTGCCTCCTAATTGACTGCTGAACGTGTCCTAAGGAAACTGGCTGCACATATGCTGTGCCACCAAGATATGTGCAAGTTGCCAAGACAGTGCTTGGAACCGCGTCACAAACCTTGAATTAGCTTGAAACAAAAGACTGTATGCAATCGCACTGTATGCAATCGTACTGTATGCAATCGCACTGTATGCAATCGCACATCAGTGATCCTCAACTTCAATCTAAGATCCGACCTCGGCAACCTTCTTGTACTCCTCCACTCCTTTCCAGTAGTTCGCAATTCTCTGCTCTTTGGTGGGTGCATCTTGAAGCTTTGCCTGAGTCTTGCGAATCTCTTTAAGGACCTCAGGGAACTGTTCCGCTTCAATGCGAGATCGGGTCACATAGTCAATCTCTCCAGGCTTGGTTGCCGCATTGGATGCGTCAATGCCCTGCATGTATCCAGGCCTCACTACTTGAAAGTCAGGACGGCCCGAACCAGTGCCCGCAAAGCTGGGTGGCGCAAAGCCCACTATCACACCTGCCAACACAGCCAACACGACTGCGGGGATGTTTGGGCGTTCTGTCTCTTGAAAGTCTTGCTTGGCCTGCAGAGCCACCCTTGGAACAGCACGAGGAGGGGATGGTGCCACAAATCCAGCAGGGTAGCCAGGGAGCAAGCAAATGGCCACTGCAAGCAGCGTCAGGGCAAGAAGGCGTGCCATCTCAAGCGGTAGAGACGACTGCTGTCCTATCACAGTTCTTCCAGTCTTTGCTTAAGCTTAAACTGCATTCACGGAAAGAAAGCGTCGAAACATGCTCATGGGACACTTGCATCCGCCACGGCAGGCACGAAATGTATCACGCATCCAGATTTGAAAAGCTGAGAACCCACAAGAATCCATAAGAACCCTGGCAATTGCACTGATACAAACAAAAAAGACTGCTGGCTTGAAAAAGAAACCTAAGGTCGCAGAAAATCATGTACTATCACAGTGGTTTACACACGACCAAGCTCTTCATAATGTGTATCTGCTTCTTGCAGCTATGCGCAGTTTATTTTTTCTGTCTGACACTGGATGATTCCAACGGTCATCAATGGTCCCATCATGGAAACGTAGCAGCTAAAGAAACACGCTTGCAAGAGCCAGTGCCTCCTAATTGACTGCTGAACGTGTCCTAAGGAAACTGGCTGCACATATGCTGTGCCACCAAGATATGTGCAAGTTGCCAAGACAGTGCTTGGAACCGCGTCACAAACCTTGAATTAGCTTGAAACAAAAGACTGTATGCAATCGCACTGTATGCAATCGTACTGTATGCAATCGCACTGTATGCAATCGCACATCAGTGATCCTCAACTTCAATCTAAGATCCGACCTCGGCAACCTTCTTGTACTCCTCCACTCCTTTCCAGTAGTTCGCAATTCTCTGCTCTTTGGTGGGTGCATCTTGAAGCTTTGCCTGAGTCTTGCGAATCTCTTTAAGGACCTCAGGGAACTGTTCCGCTTCAATGCGAGATCGGGTCACATAGTCAATCTCTCCAGGCTTGGTTGCCGCATTGGATGCGTCAATGCCCTGCATGTATCCAGGCCTCACTACTTGAAAGTCAGGACGGCCCGAACCAGTGCCCGCAAAGCTGGGTGGCGCAAAGCCCACTATCACACCTGCCAACACAGCCAACACGACTGCGGGGATGTTTGGGCGTTCTGTCTCTTGAAAGTCTTGCTTGGCCTGCAGAGCCACCCTTGGAACAGCACGAGGAGGGGATGGTGCCACAAATCCAGCAGGGTAGCCAGGGAGCAAGCAAATGGCCACTGCAAGCAGCGTCAGGGCAAGAAGGCGTGCCATCTCAAGCGGTAGAGACGACTGCTGTCCTATCACAGTTCTTCCAGTCTTTGCTTAAGCTTAAACTGCATTCACGGAAAGAAAGCGTCGAAACATGCTCATGGGACACTTGCATCCGCCACGGCAGGCACGAAATGTATCACGCATCCAGATTTGAAAAGCTGAGAACCCACAAGAATCCATAAGAACCCTGGAAATTGCACTGATACAAACAAAAAAGACTGCTGGCTTGAAAAAGAAACCTAAGGTCGCAGAAGATCATGTACTCTCACAGTGGTTTACACACGACCAAGCTCTTCATAATGTGTATCTGCTTCTTGCAGCTATGCGCAGTTTATTTTTTCTGTCTGACACTGGATGATTCCAACGGTCATCAATGGTCCCATCATGGAAACGTAGCAGCTAAAGAAACACGCTTGCAAGAGCCAGTGCCTCCTAATTGACTGCTGAACGTGTCCTAAGGAAACTGGCTGCACATATGCTGTGCCACCAAGATATGTGCAAGTTGCCAAGACAGTGCTTGGAACCGCGTCACAAACCTTGAATTAGCTTGAAACAAAAGACTGTATGCAATCGCACTGTATGCAATCGCACATCAGTGATCCTCAGCCTCAATCTAAGATCCGACCTCGGCAACCTTCTTGTACTCCTCCACTCCTTTCCAGTAGTTCGCAATTCTCTGCTCTTTGGTGGGTGCATCTTGAAGCTTTGCCTGAGTCTTGCGAATCTCTTTAAGGACCTCAGGGAACTGTTCCGCTTCAATGCGAGATCGGGTCACATAGTCAATCTCTCCAGGCTTGGTTGCCGCATTGGATGCGTCAATGCCCTGCATGTATCCAGGCCTCACTACTTGAAAGTCAGGACGGCCCGAACCAGTGCCCGCAAAGCTGGGTGGCGCAAAGCCCACTATCACACCTGCCAACACAGCCAACACGACTGCGGGGATGTTTGGGCGTTCTGTCTCTTGAAAGTCTTGCTTGGCCTGCAGAGCCACCCTTGGAACAGCACGAGGAGGGGATGGTGCCACAAATCCAGCAGGGTAGCCAGGGAGCAAGCAAATGGCCACTGCAAGCAGCGTCAGGGCAAGAAGGCGTGCCATCTCAAGCGGTAGAGACGACTGCTGTCCTATCACAGTTCTTCCAGGCTTTGCTTAAGCTTAAACTGTGAGCCCAAGCAATTGTATACCAAGTTTTGGTGTTCCACTTTTGCCAGGATTTTTTCACTCGCTGAATGGTGGGCACATCTCAAAATAGTTCCATGCTCTCTGCCTAGGAGATCGCGTGCAATTCATGTTTCTGAGAATGCTGAGTATTTCTCATTATTTCTCTGGTTTCCGTTGCCAATACCGCTGGAAAGTCTTGTTGTCAAATGGGATGATTCCAAGTAGTAATGGAAGAAAAGAACCTACAAACTACAAACTACAAACCAGTGAATCTTTGATTTTCGGAATTTCGAGGAATTCCTCCGCCAACGTTGGGGATGCACCATGCCGCCGACATCACCATGCCGCTGGGGATTCCCGCCGTCATCAAAAACTCAGAGAGGCCATTCCTGACGTCACAGCTGTTTCCTTTGTTGTGTCTGCTAGACTTCTACGATTTCTGTTGGGAAACCTTACCAGAACCAACCGTACCACGATTTCTGTAGGGAAACCAGAACCCAGAACCAACCGTACAATTCTGCTGGGAAAAAAACAAGAAAAGATGGAAAAAGGACACCGATCTTAGAAGGAAACAACCATGCATGTCTGGCCAGTCTTGACCCATCAATCACCATGGCACCCTTACCCCGCCCTCCTGAATAGCGGGCATGGTTGAAGAAGCACGGGAAAAAAATGGATCTCACCAGCCGAGTTTGTTTTTGTGGATTGCTAGCTGCTAACATGTTCTCTGAAGCATTTCTGGGACTGATAGTTTGAAAACGAAAGGAAACTCGTCAAGCTCGTGCTGTGTCTCGACCCCAGATCCTTGTACCTTTTGGCTAACCCGGCGCACCAACTGCCCTGCCCTCAAGGTTGGGACCAAATCATCACCCGGTTCATGTACTCAAACGCAACCTGCGAGCTGAATGATGGGGATGATTTCCCCCAATTGGGGGATTGAGTGAATTGGGGGATTGAGTGTGTATATATATATATATACCTATATGCAAAAAAAAATGAGTCAACTGGGGTCTGAGATAGAGACTGAACTGTCAACATGTTGAAACCAGCACTGCCCAAATGTGGCCAAAACCTACCATCAACCACTAGGCATCAACCCAGCAGTACTCATTTGACGACAACCTCCTTCAAGGTAGCCTCTGGTAGAGGAAAACAAACACCACTGGCTAACAGAAGGCTCTACGGTTATCAGGTTTGTCCATTTAAGATGATTAGCACATGAGAGATTTGTTACTGAGAATGTTTGTCCCATCTGGTATCTATAGATATTCATCTATCATTTATGATGATAGATAATATGTGAACTAGATAAACATCAACAAAAGATTATCATCCCATTTCATCCCATGTAACAAATATATAGATATTATATTACTTATGGATTACAGATTTAATAACATGCTATGTTACCATGTCTATGGATGATCATATTATCTATAGATCATCATCCCATTTTCAGAACTTCTGATCCCATCTGATGCTCCGCCTGTCTCCTGGCTGTGGGATCAATGTGCACCTGACAAAAAAAAGTCTAAGAAAGTCCATTGGGATGATAGTTGATCATTTTTCATGTGTATATTTATACACACATATGCAATTTGTGCATATCTGTATGAACATGTATATACAGCATCTAATGTAAGTAATTGTATACATATATCATTATACATACATATATATATATGATATTTATGTATATTGTGAAGTTATATACCTATCATATATATGTACAAATATGTATGTTAAGAAATGAGATGAAAACTGACCATGATAAACTTCAGCTCATTTTTGTTGATGTTTCATTCCCCACCTGCCAGGTGAGGGTTGTTAGATTTTATCAGAGCTGTTCTCCTCCTCCTCCGCCTCCGCATCCTCCTCCTCCTCGTCCTCCTCCTCCTCCTCGCAGTCCAGATCCCAGTGGGCACAGCCGGACCTCCACCGCGAGCTCCAGAGCCCAGTGGGCACTGCCGCACCTCCACCGCGAGCTCCAGATCCCAGTGGGCACTGCCGGACCTCAACCGCGACTTCCAGGTTGCAGTGGGCACTGCCGGACCTCAACCGCGACTTCCAGATCGCAGTGGGCACTGCCGGACCTCAACCGCGAGCTCCAGATGCCAGTGGGCACTGCCGGACCTCAACCGCGAGCTCCAGATCCCAGTGGGCACTGCCGGACCTCAACCGCGAGCTCCAGATCCCAGTGGGCACTGCCGGACCTCAACGGCCAGATAGAATGCCAGAAGATATGCCAGATAGAATGCCAGAAGATATGTCAGATAGAATGCCAGAAGATATGCCAGATAGAATGCCAGAAGATTTGCCAGATAGAATGCCAGAAGATATGACAGAAGATATGCGAGAACATATGCCAGAAGATATGCCAGATAGAATGCCAGAAGATATGTCAGATAGAATGCCAGAAGATTTGCCAGATAGAATGCCAGAAGATATGCCAGAACATATGCCAGCAGATATGCCAGATAGAATGCCAGATAGAATGCCAGAAGATATGTCAGATAGAATGCCAGAAGATATGTCAGATAGAATGCCAGAAGATATGCCAGATAGAATGCCAGAAGATTTGCCAGATAGAATGCCAGAAGATATGCCAGAAGATATGCCAGACAGAATGCCAGATAGAATGCCAGAAGATATGTCAGATAGAATGCCAGAAGGTTTGCAAGATAGAATGCCAGATAGAATGCCAGAAGATATGTCAGATAGAATGCCAGAAGATATGTCAGATAGAATGCCAGAAGATTTGCCAGTAAGAAAATGTATAAATGCCATGGTGGGGATCATTCGAAGTGAAGTAATTGTTTTTTTTACAAACTCAAATTGTTTTTTCCTTACTACTTAGGTCCTTTTTTGTTGTCATATCTTATATACTGTAAATTTAATTTTCATATGTTAGGAATGAAAAAAACACATGAAATATACATTTATCATCATGTATCAGGTGTGGGCTTCGCTTTTTACAGTATCCCCCACCGTTTGTCAAAAACATCGGCTGGATTCCGGCGTCGTTTCAGGATCTCACACCGTATTCAGGTGTTTGTAAAGGATCTTCAAAGTGGAAAGCCTGCCATTGTGCCGAAGTCGGAAACAATACATGGAGGTTTCCTGAAATGGGTACCCCCAAATCGTCCATTCTAGTAGGATAAACCATCCATTTGGGGTACCACCATTTATGGAAACCACCACATGGATCTTCGAAACCAAAAAACAGAATACGTCGATGGCGGTTGCCGATCGTTCTTTAGGAAATAAAAAAATAATCCTACAGTAATATTGTTAATATATATATATGTATACATAAATTGATAGTTGTGGAAGAGTGTGATAGATAAGATAAAATACGTCAAATGCAAATGTTCAGTTGCTGACTGTCTGTCACTCAAGTGAATTTGCAACATGAACCTTCTAAGTGCTTGAATGTAGAAGTCATGAACATCATCGACAGTGTGTATGTGTGGACACATGCCATCTGATTGGCTGGAGAATGTGGTGAGGTGGAAGCAGGTGGGTTATTTGAAAAACAGATGGCATACGAACGTGCTTGTACTTATGCCATCTGTTCGTAACCCTGTATACATCATTATATCATATATAATATATCAAATGATATCATTAATATAATATGTCATTAATATGTATCATTTTTTGGTATGTATCTGTTTTTCCCCACCTGCCAGGTGAGGGTTGTTAGATTTTATGTCAGTTGCCTCCTCCTCCTCCTCCTTCTCCTCCTTCTCCTCCTCCTTCTCCTCCTCCTCCTCCTCTCGTTGTCCTCCTCGTCCTCCTGCTCAACTGCGACTCGCGATCCACAGTGTTCTCTGCCGGACCTCAATCACGACCATCACCGCCCAGTGTTCCCTGCCGGACCTCAACCGCGAGTATCCCCGCCCAGTGTTCCCTGCCGGACCTCAACCACGACCATCCACGCCAAGTGTTCCCTGCCGGACCTCAACCACGACCATCCACGCCCAGTGTTCCCTGCCGGACCTCAACCGCGAGTATCCATGCCAAGTGTTCCCTGCCGGACCTCAACCACGACCATCCGCGCCCAGTGTTCCCTGCCGGACCTCAACCGCGAGTATCCACGCCAAGTGTTCCCTGCCGGACCTCATGTAGGAAGATAAAATGTCAGATAGAGTGCCAGAAGATTTGCCAGGTAGAATGCCAGAAAATATGCCAGAAGATATGCCAGATAGATATGCCAGAAGATATTCCAGATGCCAGATAGAATGCCAGATAGAATGCCAGATAGAATGCCAGATAGAATGCCAGATAGAATGCCACAAGATATGTCAGAATATATGCCAGAAGATATGCCAGAAGATATGCCAGATAGAATGCCAGAATAGAATGCCATGAAGATATGTCAGATATGCCAGAAGATATGCCAGAAGATATGCCAGATAGAATGCCAAATAGAATGTCAGAAGATATGTCAGATAGAATGCCAGAAGATGTGCCAGTAAGAACATGTATAAATGTCATGGTGGGGATCACACGAAGTAAAGTAATTTGACATACATTGATACCTTTATATGATGTATTCATGTATCATATTAATGTTACGTTAGTAAATCACCATGGTTTAACCAACTTCTGGGATCTGCTGGGCGTCCGTCACCAGGCGGATGTTCAGGAGTCGATCGCGAAGCTCGCTGTAGGTGCCAAACCTGGCGACTTTTTGTGGATTTTTTTAATCAAACATCTGAGGTTTTTTGCATGAAGAATTTAAGGGATGTATTCAATGAAAATGTGGATTTAACATGATTTAACCAGCTGTATTCAATTTTTTTGGTGGATTTTTGACATGATTTTACCAGCTGAAAAACCAAGCCCAATGGGGATTGAACCAGATTTGACCATGAAAAATGCCTGTAAAAACATCTTTTAACCAACCACAGGGTTTTAATCATCAATAATGAGTGTTCAACATGATTTAGATTTAAATTCAACCATCAAAAATGTGGATTTAACAATCGAGAATTGGGATGTAAGCATCAAGCATTTGGATACTGTAGTTGGGATATGTTTCCGGCGAAAGAATTTGGAGTTTACAGTATATTGAAGTTTACCTCGAAAAGTATTGCAGCTATTTTCACAATCAAAAACGGGGGGTTGAATCAACCAATAAGAATGAGCTATCTTTATCTACAAATGTTGAATCATGTCATTTGAATCACTATAATCCCATTCGCAGTTCACCTGAAATACCCCCTATGTTTGGGACACCGATCCATAACAGATCCAATACTAAATCAGGGGTTCGACTGGGTGGTACTTAATTTTGGGAAAGGGGTTACTGTAGTATGATACGAATACGAAATTACGTGAAAATGTGGGGGGATTATTGTGTATGAAATAGTCCATTTTGGGCTTACTATTTATCTTTGAACATGTTGATACCCGGCCCATGCCCTTGAGCAGATTTGAAGATGCAATTTGCAAACCTTTTCCCCCAACATTTTTATACATACCGAACCCATGGATGTCCATACCCAAATGATGGTTTATCATTACCTTACCCAATCGTTGGGTTCCAGGGTTCCACAAAAAACAGAAAGGTTTTTGCAGATCAAATCACCATGAAATATCATGAAACAGATGGTCAATTCGTATCAATTCAACTGGTTGCTGGTGCAATGTGCCCATCTTGAAAAATGATGGAGTTCGTCAATGGGAAGGATGAATTATCCCATATCTGAAATGGAAAATAAAAGCCATGTTTGAAACCACCAACCAGTCATATCGGTCATTTCCTGAGAATCATCATCCTAAACTGACCAAATCACTACGAACGTAGGCAAGGGTCGGGAAAAAAAACAGCACCAGCTGCGGAAAACGATCACTAAAACTTCCAAAATTTCCATGGTTTCAACATGTTTCAACATGTTTCAACGGTTCCAACTCTCAATCACGGTTTTTTTCGGAGGTTCCTGCACATGTTCTCCGCAAAAAAAGAAGACTAGGAACGTTGACCATCTTCTCACGTTCGTTTTTTGTGTCCCTCAAAAAAAAACATCCCTTAAGCTGTTGAAACAGCTGTCCTTTCTTCGGTGTCCCCTATTGAAAACCTGTAAACCTGGCCTCAGAAAAACCAAGAAGTTCAGGGCCACCAGGAGCGAATGTACTGCCACTAGCCTAGGCACTATAGACCTCAACAGCCGGCAGTGAGGTGAGGAGCCTAGAGGTTGCTGCAACTGCCAACAATAGGAGTATGATGGCCGAACGTTAATTCACTGGAAGTTTGACCTACCTAAACTAATACCTAGCAGCCTAGCACTTTTATATTACTGGTGGTTCCCTAATCGCAATCCTAATCTGCTATCCGCCGGGAATCTCAAAAATCTGTAATCCTGTAGCCAAGCCAAAATCATAGAGCTAAACTCAACGGCTTCTCTTTGCATTGCACCAACCTGTCAGCAAGGTCGCAAGATGGATGATTTATGATAGGCAAAGTTGATGAAGAATCCATGACACTGGGATTTTGATATTGGCTACAGTATATATACATATATATATATATATTATATATACAATATATATATATATCCACATTTCAGGGTGGTCAAATGATGGCGAGGCCCGCCATAAAAATTCTGGTCTTGCTTTCATCGGACAGGATCAGCACCCATCAACCGGCTGAGGCAGGTCACGTCACCAGTGACTTCAACCAGGGTCGGTTCTGCGCCCAGCGCTCAAGCTGCAAGCGACCGGCGATGCGGCGACCCAAGTAGGGAACCACCACCTGAGTTTGGTCCGTTTCTGAATGATTTTCAAAAAAAACCATCAGCCCTTGCTTGTGAATATATCAGATTTTTTGGGGTTGGGAAAGCCCATGGAAACCCATATGGCTGGTAAACTAGCTATATCCAACTTTGCCCACAATCATGTTTGTTGGTTCTATCCACATTTCAAAGCCATGAAATCCCAGAGTTTTTATAAGTTTTCCTACCAGTTTCCCCTCACAAAAAACGGATTACGATCGTTCAATCATGTTTAATTCACTCAATAGAGAACCATCAGCAAAAACCAAAGATGTTAATGAACTCGATAGAAAACCATCAATGTCTGAACTCTGAGGAGCTGCTAATCATCTAATCCTCTCCGCGGCGAAACTCGGCCAAGACACCCAGAGCGCCAGGAAGCCCAATTTCTGGAGTCGGCTCAGTGGCAAAACCGCCATCTGACCTGGTGAAATCGGCGACTTTTCACCGGTCACAGCATCCAGTAGTCATGGGGATGACTTCATGACTTGTTGTACTGAAACAACCATGGTACCTTGAAAAAATTCCCATGACTTGAGAAACCCGCAGTCATAGACAATAGATGATTGCAAGTCCTGTAGAATGTTCAGATATGTTCAGTCTCATTACTCATTTACAATGTACAAGAAACCACAGTGATTCAGGACCTCAGAATATGCTTCCGGTTCCAGTCGTCATGTCGAACTGAACCGGCTGCAGAATCTTCTCCGTTGATTTCGAGGGGCTCACCATCCCAGGAACCTGGTGTGATTTACCCTCTGGTTGAACATGGCCATTGAAATAGTGGATTTTCCCATGAAAAATGGTGATTTTCCATAGCAAAATGATGATGAACCTGTCGAGGGAAGATGTTACCAACTGCTGACCCCCATCTCCGGTCTCTTATAGACTTAAGTGAGGGAAAAGAGAGGAAACTCCTCAAATAGAAATAGCTTGTAAATCCATGTGTGTTAATTACAGTAGATTTTCCCAAGAAAAAGATCCAATGATGAAATCACATGGAAAATTCCACTCTCAGTTGCTAAAATCCCCAGATTTTTTGGTGTCGATCGGCCAGTTGAACTGCGCTTCACCGCAGCATAGTGCAGGTTCTGCAAGCGACCTCCAGGCCTCGGCGTGGTGGTGTGACCAATGCCGTCATGAGGAAAATTGAGATGGTTTGATTGAACATAAAATCTAGTGATTAATGGTGATTAATGGTTATTTAATGATGCTTAATGATGATTAATGATGGTGAATATCTACTGGTTGGTGGTGCAATGTGCCCATCTTGAAAAATGATGGAGTTCGTCAATGGGAAGGATGACAACCCATATATTATGGAAAATAAGAAATGTTTGAAACCACCAACCAGAAATGTTTCATGATAATAGCTGGAGTTTGATAGGGGGAAATTTCACATGGCGACAAAATTACCATGTGCAAATTATGAGGTAAATCATCTATGTCAATGTACGACTACACATGGGTAATGTTCGAAAGCTTAAAATAGTAAACCACTTTGACACGCCAAAATGTTGGTTATGGCCTATAGATCCCCATTGGAATATTTGCTAAATCATCTACCCAGGTACCATAGGGGGCAAATCAAACTATCTAAAGGTGTCTTTTTGAAAAAGCAACCCTGACATAGATCCAAAAATTGGAAACGTGTTGGAAATTGTGGAGGACATATTTTGTATATATATACACATGTGTATATATATACACATATGTATATAATATTATATAGTCCGTTCATGTTTTCAGATCCTGGAAAAACTGTTCTATCCCTGGACCCAGCATCCCCAAAAGGGGTGAAACTTTGGGGAAAACAGATGCAGTGGATGGATCAGAACTGAGTCTATCCCTCTGTTTCTACAGTGTAGTTGTTCATTTCTGCGGGATTACAACCAGCCTCCTACTCATCAAAATTATCCTATTTTTATTGGGTAATGAACTATTTATTCCCTACGTTTCCGAAAGAATATCTGGAATGAATTGGATGTACCATAGCCATTAACCATATTGGGCTCCCAGCGTGGGCTGGTCGATCCACACTGTGTACCTCACGGAAAAAAAAAACAGGCAGTCTCGACCAAAATGCCACAGCATTTAAGGGCGATGCACGGTGATTTAATGAAGTTTAATGGATATTTGGGGTGGTTATATAATGGATTCTAATGGATATTCCATATAATGGATATTCCATATAATGGATTCTAATGGATTTTCAGGGGGGTCAATGGTTTTTAATGGTTTTTAATGGCGTTTCAAGATGTTTTAATCACCACTTCTCACCTGTCTCGGGAAACACGTCCCTTCTTTACAAGCCCCGGACGGTGGATGGTCCCATCTGTGCTGGTGAATTTTGAACATCCCATTTGTCAAAATGGACATAGCCTCTGGTAATTTAACATAGCTATTGAAAATGACCATTTATAGTGAGTTTTCCCATTAAAAACGGTGATTTTCCATAGTTATGTTAGTTTGCCAGAGGGTAGCCTCTGGTAAACAGCCACATTTTGCTATGGAAAATCACTATTTTTCATGGGTAAATCCATGTAAATCCACTATTTCGACTGGGCCATGCTCAATAGTTATGTGGCTGTTTACCAGAGGGTATCTGGTTGATAACATTGTCACAGGCACATCGTGAAAAATCCTTATAAAAAAAATCCAGGATGCATCTGAATTTCTCTGGGGAAAAAACTTACACCTAAAATCCATGTGTTTATAATATTTCAATCAACATGGCCAAAACTTGAAGGCCCATCCCCCTTCCATCCCACATGGGTGGACATACCCTTCCATACATCATCATACCCTCTGGTATTTTAACATAGCTATAGAAAATAACAATTTTTAATAGCTAAACCATCTATTTCTATGGGCCATCAATTTTCCATAGCTATGTAAACGTTTACCAGAGGGTACATTCCATAATCTTAGCGGACATATAAATCCCCTTTCTATCCCCAGATCGTCCGTGATTCCATCCAACCATTCTCTGTTGATTCATGGAGTCCCCCTGTTTTTACCCCAGGTCCGGTCCCAAAGCCATTTCCAATACCCTCTGGTAATTTAACATAGCTATGGAAAATCACCATTTTTAATGGGAAAACTCACTATAAATGGCCATCTTCAATAGCTATGTTAGTTTACCAGAGGGTAATTACTGTATCCCATGATATCCTCGCCTCCAAAGCATGGCCTGTAGCAAGACCTCCATCTCTTCTGCAAAACGCTCCAGCGGCCTCTGACGCACAGTTTCTTTTCATAGTTCCCATGAAAAGGTCGCAAAAGCAATCCAGGGTCTAAGATGTCTGTACATCTTGGGACTTAGGAATACTTAGTATCTAAAGTTGTCTACAATCTTTTGCAAAGAGTCTGTATGTGATGTGTTTAGGTTGGCAATTTGAAGCCACGCGTCGCAAGAATATTTGAATCAGTTGGAATCAAACAGGATGAAAATAAATTCAAATTGAATTGGGACCAGTTCAGTTGCTGTTCCTTCTGGCTCTTGTTGTCCTTGATGTTTTTTGATACACGAAAGGTCTTCCCGTTTGGGTAGGTCGTCAAACTGAGGCAGTCTGGGAAAGTGTCTCTCAAGGCCTAGGGCCTAGCAGGAAACCTCTGATTTACCAGGTGCTCCTTGGAAGGTCGATGCAGCCCCTGTGGCTGGTGGTTGCTCCATTGGAGCGTTCACATCTTGGAACTGCTTGGCAGGTTGGATGCCATCGGCACACTCCAGCCTGCTACTTCTTTCCAAAGGTTCAACTGCCCAATGATGGTGCCTTGTGAAACAGAGGATATCCTCCACAATCCGCTTTGGGAGAGGCCTTGAGAACAGCTTGAGCATTGTCTGGTAGCAGATCTGGCGTCCAACAGGCACCGAGACCACGAAATATGGCACACCGACGGCAGCACAAAGCTCGGCACAGCCCCACAAAATCGCCAGGTCTAAGTGAGGAAGCCCTTTCCCCTAAATGGTCAAGTTGATGCCCAAATTGACTTGTTGCAGGCACGTGATTGCCCGGCTGCCTAAAAGTAGGAAGAACTGGGCAAATTCCATCCACACAGTGCCAAATTGTAAAAACCCAGGCTTCTCTGAACAAAAGAAAATCATCGAATCTGGGTGTCCGGATTGATGATCATGGGCCCATGGGTGATCCAAATTTGGTTTAATGGGTCATTCCCTTTCACCCCTTCGTGCTTTTACTGAGTCTCCTGTAAATAATATATAAACGATATTCCAGCAGTTGCTTTCGCAATTTTCAATCCTTACCTGGTGATACTTGCCAGAAAGAAAGAAACAGATTCATGTTTACATGTCCAATGTATCTCATTATATGCCCTAGATTGTCTGAAAATACCCCTAAATCCATTGCTGAATCAGCGAATTTTCCCTATTATTAGCATTGCCTTTTTGGGGCATACTTCATTTTCAAACAGCCATATCCCACGAAGGCCGATCGGCGCCCCGCACCACTCGTCCGAGAGGACAGCGTCCTGAAGCTGCTGCCTGGCATACGGAACCCGCCATGGGATGTTGCGCAAGCGCAATATGGCGGTTTCCGAATCCATGTGGGTAGCCCTAAATCATCCATTTGAATAGGAGGTTCCCTTATAAACCATCCAGCCATTGGGGTAGCCCCATTTTTAGGAACCCCCCACATTGTTGTTTGAAAGATATGAACATATCTCTTGGAAAAAAAAACATGACATGAATATCCGAAAAACGGAAAATGCATCAAAAATGATTGGTGACTTAAACGATATACATCGATATACGACATAGAGACCAGCATGGGAGTAAACAAAGGTAACCACCGCTGGGGCCCATTTTTGTGTTGCTGGGAATTCCACCAAGATCGGCGGTTTGGATGATCAACTGGGGGTGTTTACTATGGCGAAGTCCATGTCTAAAATTATGCCTTTTGACATGGTAAACACTGCTATGTCAAGATCTTCAAATTGTGAAATTCTTGGTTTTTAGCAACAGTAAAACCATCATAAACATTCATAAACCATCCCAAAATCTGAACCATAGGGATTCGAATGATGAAAAAGCCATCAATCCATAAATTATGACATTGCTTTACTAGCCTCTGGGAAACTCAGAGTTTGCTATTGAAGCCATGGCCATTAAGACTAATATAGACTAATAGTTGATTTACCCAACTATAGTTATATCACCATTTTGTAGAGGCTTTTCATACCATTCCATGGATTGACCCAACTATAGTTAAGTTATATCACCATACTATTCCATAGTATATTATCTGCTTGGTGGTTTCAACCCCTCTGAAAAATATTAGTCAGTTGGGATGATTATTCCCAATATATGGAAAAATCATGCAAATGTTCCAAACCACCAACCAGTTATGGTTATACATGTTATACCACACTATAGTTGTACATAGTGACTGTCCAGTTCGTTAAACGTAAACGTTTACCAACATGAAATCCATGAACCCAAACCGCCCGCCCGCCTCAGAATCGAGGTGATCTCTCCATCCAATCGCCTACCGTGCAGAAATCGATGGTTTTTCTAAAGGCAAAATATGATGGATGCTATATAGAATTATATATATATGTATATATATATATATTCTACATATATTTATATCTATATACACTGTATATATGCCTTAACCTTCCAAAGTCAGACTTGTGGGCGTTCATGTTTGCAATTTCCCCTGTGGCAACGAATTTCTCAAAGCAAAAACGCATGTGAACGTACGCCAATCTGCCCGCTGCACAGGTGGGCTCCCAGTTCTATCTTCAGAGGTCCTGTTCAACTTGAAACACATCGGATGTATTATATAACATCAATATACATATATAACATCAATATACATATATAACATCAATATACATATATAACATCAATATACATATATAACATCAATATACATATATAACATCAATATACATATATAACATCTATGTATACATATAGTATATCACACATATATATATACATATATATATATACATATGTGTGATTCACCAGCCCAAGTTTCCCGCAATCGAATGATTTTGCGATTAAAAAACATGCGCTCGAAACTTCCCATGGTGAAATCCCAAGAGTTGTGTGAAACGTGCTGCTGAAATTCCAAAAAACTCATGGATAAACATGGCCATCTCTGAAGATATCTACAGAAATTCCCCCAAAAAAAATAGAAAAACACGGAAAAACACTATTTTTACAATTTTAGTAGGAGTTTACTTAGTTGTTACCTTTTTGGGGATTAACATATTAACCTCTAAAGATCTCAACGTTGAGATCTCCAGCTTCCAGCATCGCCTGGCATCCAGCTGATTCACTCGCAACACCGGAAGGTCGGCCTGGATGAATCACACGAAAACTGAGCATCCCAACAATTGTGGCTTCATGATGAAAAAAGCACGAAAAATTGCGGATTGATTGTAAATATATAATATATATATATTATTTATATATATATATATCAAACATGCATTGAACCAACAATTTTAAGCCGTTTGACCATAGATGGGAATTGATCCTCCAAAATGCCGGATCCAAGCCAGGACAATGGCGGACGCACCCCAAAAATATCTCTAAGTCTAAGCCTAGTGGATTATGGATTTACTGGTATAGACAATAGTCTGCCTGCAGTGAATTATTTGATCTTTCACAGAAAAAAAATTGTTTGGCGCGTTCTACAGCCGGGATGATCATAAAATCTGCGCACAGTCTTTAAATATTCAAGCCTAGTTGCTCATTGAAGCCCCAAAAAATGACATATATCAAATATCTCCATCGCAAAAAAAAAGACCCACATGTGTGTGTGTAGATGATTATATCAAAAAAAATATTGATATATGACATTATATATATATACATACATATATCTTATATATAATATACATGTATATATATAATAGTATTAAAATATATTACCCCCTGGTTATTTAACATAGCCATGGAAAATGGTCCATTTATAGATGGTTTACCTATTAAAAATGGTGATTTTCCATGGCTATGTTAAAGAACCAGAGGGTATATTGATTAATATGCTGTTTTGGCGATTTCCCAAGTGTCACCGAGCCGCTCCGCTTGTCATCGCAAAGTCTGCGCACCACTCAGCAAGCCTTTTGCGGCGGGGGTGGGGTTTTCATGGTTTCTGATGGTTACCCTCTGGTAAACTAACATAGCTATGGAAAATCACCATTTTTAATGGGAAAATCCACTATTAATGGCCATTTTCAATAGCTATGTTAAATTACCAGAGGGTAACAAACATGAGTTTTTCATGGTTTTCGATGGTGTTTTTGATGGTTTTTCTTGGGTCAATATGAGTTTTTCCATGGTTCTTGATGGTTTTTCTTGGGGCAATATTATGTAGTTATGCAGGTGGGGAATTTGATTGAAAAGAAACACTTTCTTGTGACAAGAACATACTTTTTCAGATCAGGACATTCGATGACCTTAATTGAACGAACCAAAAATGGGATAAAATGACCCAAGTTTGGGACACACCGTGCTACCAAGAATGGAATCCAGGTGAAATCTCCTCCTTTGGTGGAGACTTCTCTGTGCCATGCTGCAGCTCTGAAATCTTAGATGGAACCTGTAGCTGCTAGGTCATTTCCAATATTTCCAGTAGTAAAACATGTTCTTCCAGCAGTTTTGGGTGATCCATCCACCTGATATCACTGGATTTGCCTCGACCCATCCCAGCACACCTTGCTTCGCTTGCTTTGCTCTACATGGCTCCGGAAGCAGGAAAAAAACCACAGAAACGGCTGGGTGCGTTGGTCGACTCAGCTTTGGTGCCCATTTCCCCAATTTTCGAAGTGTCCCAGTTTTTATCAATTTTTCATGGGTCCCACTGCAACCCAAAAAAAAACCAGGCTCTGCAGAAACTCTTCGGTCGATTCCTCCAGTTTGCCTTCATGAAAATGATGAAAGTTGATTGCCAGGCAAGTGGGAATCCACGAGCCTGCAGTCGTCATAGCCATGATAGACACATAGCTTAAAAAAATAGTCCAAGACATTCCCCCATACAATGGAGGATCTTATAATAGTGCATGGTTAATAGCCCTCGTTAGTAGGTCCCCACGTTGTGGGTTATACCGGGTTATCCCATTTATCAAACATGACAAATATCAAAGTCTCTGTTCTTAGTCCCGATACATCCTCCAAATTGTGACCCAAAGTAGCCACAAGGAGACATTGGTTGCTGGCCGTCCTGTTGCACATTGTTGCGGCACTTCAGATTCCACGAGGGTATTGCAATTTTGCAATAGCTTTAAGCAGATGTTTTGGTACATAGTGTTTGATTGTGCCGGAACATGCTATGGATCCTTGCAGGATCTTGGGCAATCATTCATGTTCATGCTGTTCGTCGGCCGGTGGAAGACATTCCGAATCCATGTGGAAGTTTCCTAAAATGGGGGTACCCCTAAATCATCCATTTTAATAGGATTTTCCCTTATAAACCATCCATTTTGGGGTATCTGCACAGTATCCCCATTTATGGAAACCCCCATGTGCTCATGTCAGAGAAACGATCTACAAAATCCAATTGCAGAACTACGCAGAAGAAAAAATCGGTGAAGCTCCACTGGTGCTAAGGATGATCGTGATGTCCAGCACTCAAACAGCATAGTGATAGTATGTCATAGTCATATGAATCGCATGTTTCATCCTCATCCTCATCCTCCTCCTCCTCCTCATCATCATCATCATCATCACCATCATCATCATCATCACCATCATCATCATCAACATCACCATCACCGTCATCATCATTAGGTTTCAAAAACCAATCCTTTCTATCATCCATCAATTTGCCCGTCATCCTCGTCAATTCATCAACACACAAATATTCAGCCAAAAATCACCTGAACAGACTTGGCTCACCATCACCGCCACCCTCTTTTTCACGTCGGTTCGGTATGGTTCGGTGCCACAGATTTGGTTGAAAGATGAAGGGAAAACCTACAGGTTTTAGCCGCAGAGAATAGACATGCCTGGTTTTTTATCTGGTAAGATCTGGCCAGTCCGTGGCGAACCACTGGTTTCCTGCACTTTTTCCCTTGAACCTACTTCGATCATGGCTTTGCAGGGATCGGAGTTCGCTTCAAGAGCCAACACCTGGGCTGTTTCGCGCCGGGCCCGGGGATGGATGGATGGAACAGCCATTTTTTCTGCGGCCAATGGTGGGAAATTGAGAATCATTGAGTCGTAATTTAGCATGCCAATCCCATCATTTGATCATATGGGAATGAGTCAAAACCCTGGTACCCTAGGTACCCTACAATAGATGGTTTATGGCTATAAAAATTCTCCCAAATATGGTAATAAGAGGTTTTGAC